GATGAGCACTCATCTTGTTAAAACGCGTTATAATAATAATAATAATAATAATAATAATAATAATAATAATAATAATAATGATGTAACTATGGGTGCCTTTTCTCCGCACGGGCGGGTCTTGCTAGTCACATTCGACATCGCTATAGGCTGTGAGTCCCATGCCGTCCTAAAATATAATATATAACACTGGTCTGTGAAGACAAAATGTGCCACCAATAATAATACAAATAATAACAATAACTGCTTTCTTCTTCTTCTTCTTCTTCTTCTTCTTCTTCTTCTTCTTCTTCTTCTTCTTCTTCTTCTTCTTCTTCTTCTTCTTCTTCTTCTTCTTCTTCTTCTTCTTTTTCTTCTTTTTCTTCTTCTTTCTTTCTTTCTTTTTCTTCTTTTCTTCTTCTCAGGGTTCACCGGCTGTAAACTCCCACGGAAAGTTCTGGTTTGACAGATCTGACATAGTTTTAGGCAGATTATTAGTTTCTCAGCTCTTGGGTTGATGCACTGCGACCTCCATTGAATGAATGATTGACAGCGGATCAACGTCATAGCACAAGGGTAGTAACCCCGAAATGCTCCGTTCTACTTCTAACTCAAGTCTGAGTCCGAAGAATCTCAGCGCAGTGCGCCAACTCAGGGGTCCTGAACTACTCTAGGTAGTTTTTAACTCCAAATATTTGCCCGGGCAGCGCCGTTAGGCTACTCTTTTTGATTTCCAAATACCAAGGAATGTTGTACGTGCGCAGCAATACACACGGGCGAGGGGCGACTTCAATGTAAGCCTCTAATTAGTCGACTCATACGATATGCTTGGATGGGGAGGCAGTGGATCTACATAGTTTTCCCACAGTAGGTCTCGGAGCCTACTTAAAGAAATAACTTCGCTGTTTACTAGTCAATCTTCCTTGATCTGTTTACTAGTCAGTCTTCCTTGATCTGATTACTAGTCAGTCTTCCTCGATCTGTTTACTAGCCAATCTTCATTGATCTGTGTACTAGCCAATCTTCATTGATCTGTTTAATAGCCAATCTTCCTCGATCTGTTTACTAGCCAATCTTCATTGATCTGTTTAATAGCCAATCTCCATGGATCTGTTTAATAGCCAATCTTCATGGATCTGTTTAATAGCCAATCTTTATTGATCTGTTTACTAGCCAATCTTCATTGATCTGTTTACTAGCCAATCTTCATTGATCTGTTTACTAGCCAATCTTCATTGATCTGTTTAATAGCCAATCTTCATTGATCTGTTTACTAGCCAATCTTCATTGATCTGTTTACTAGCCAATCTTCATTGATCTGTTTACTAGCCAATCTTCATTGATCTGTTTAATAGCCAATCTTCATTGATCTGTTTACTAGCCAATCTTCATTGATCTGTTTACTAGCCAATCTTCATTGATCTGTTTAATAGCCAATCTTCATTGATCTGTTTAATAGCCAATCTTCATTGATCTGTTTACTAGCCAATCTTCATTGATCTGTTTAATAGCCAATCTTCATTGATCTGTTTTCTTAGCCAATCTTCTTTGATCTGTTTAATAGCAAATCTTCTTTGATCTGTTTACTAGCCAATCTTCATTGATCTGTTTACTAGCCAATCTTCATTGATCTGTTTACTAGCCAATCTTCATTGATCTGTTTACTAGCCAATCTTCCTCGATCTGTTTACTAGCCAATCTTCATTGATCTGTTTACTAGCCAATCTTCATTGATCTGTTTACTAGCCAATCTTCATTGATCTGTTTACTAGCCAATCTTCCTCGATCTGTTTACTAGCCAATCTTCATTGATCTGTTTACTAGTCAATCTTCCTTGATCTGTTTACCAGCCAATCTTCATTGATCTGTTTACCAGCCAATCTTCTTTGATCTGTTTAATAGCCAATCTTCATTGATCTGTTTAATAGCCAATCTTCCTTGATCTGTTTACTAGCCAATCTTCATTGATCCGTTTAATAGCCAATCTTCCTTGATCTGTTTGATAGCCAATCTTCCTTGATCTGTTTAATAGCCAATCTTCCTTGATCTGTTTACTAGCCAATCTTCATTGATCTGTTTACTAGCCAATCTTCATTGATCCGTTTAATAGCCAATCTTCCTTGATCTGTTTAATAGCCAATCTTCCTTGATCTGTTTAATAGCCAATCTTCCTTGATCTGTTTACTAGCCAATCTTCCTTGATCTGTTTAATAGCCAATCTTCCTTGATCTGTTTACTAGCCAATGTTCATTGATCTGTTTACTAGCCAATCTTCATTGATCCGTTTAATAGCCAATCTTCCTTGATCTGTTTAATAGCCAATCTTCCTTGATCTGTTTAATAGCCAATCTTCCTTGATCTGTTTACTAGCCAATCTTCCTTGATCTGTTTAATAGCCAATCTTCCTTGATCTGTTTACTAGCCAATCTTCATTGATGTTCAGATGGTTTAGCGAGTCATTATTTCTTTTCTCCTTGATTCCTTGCGTTCTGGGACTATTTCTAAAGCACATCAGACCGAAAGCTCTTATCTTTTCTAGTAAGAACTGCGAGATAGCCCACATCTGGCATTCGTTACGTTTACATGTTGATGTTTGACCAAGCTTTAAATGGTGTTTAATCATAAAATTGCTGTGGCCATCCACCTTTTAACTTCCATTGAACATTTTCATCCCCTCTTTTAACCAAGTCAGTCCTCAAAACGACCCGACCAGGCGGCACTACTGACCGAAGGATGTTACAGACAGAACGATGGACCGCCAGGGGTGAGTTTGTATTACTTGGTTCTTGCAGAGGACGGGGGAAGCGTCTCCCGTTTAAAGGTTGGATGATCAGTCCTGCCTCTTTGGACCAAACCATTGCAGCAGGGCTAAACTCAGGTCTTATCAAACAGACCGAGAAGCAATGCTGTGTATTATGGAACCTAAGTATTGAACGTTTGTGACATGTTTGGTTTGAGTGAGTGACGTTCAAGCGCGGCTTAACGAGTGATAAACATGCGGTGAAATCAAGTGTCACCATTCGGCTGAGAAACACCCGGGCACAAGTCAAAGAAAACACATTCAGCCGTAAGTTTTTTTTTTTTTTTTCAGTATTCAGAAACCATGAGTTGTTAACCCTTAGGCTCTGTATTATAGATATCGCAATCCGTCGGCCTTGATTCCATGATAAATACAGTATATCTGGGAGAAATGTGGCTTTTCTGCCTACCCCCGGGCGTGAACACGGAAAACAAGGAGTTCGTTACCCGGTCACCGCGCAGTCCGGTTTAGCCAACTACGCTAGAGAGCCGGGCCTAAGGTTATTCTAGAACCACCGACAACAGCCATAATATGGCTTTAAACTAATAATAAATAAATTAAAAAATGTGCGCAAAATGTTCGGTTGGGTCAATGTCTTCCTATGAAGGCTTTTGTAAACTTTCAGCTCTACGTTTAAGTTAGTCTGCAAACTTCTCTGATACATATGTTTCTTGTAATCTTTCGCTGTTGTACTCTTGGTGTAATCTTTGCAGACAGACTGACTGACGTTTTACCCCACAGGGACATCACACTGAACGTTAAACACCCGGTGACGCAAAGTGCCATCTTTCCGCAATTCTCCCGGGTATGGGTCCCAGAAACCTCAAAAATACGCCCCACTCACCCCTCTAAAAATAATATGGAATGCATTGTTCTTACTTTTCATAAGAAGATGGGATTATAGAGATTATATAAGCCTTTCAGCTGTATAGCCATACTAATTAGTTCATGTTAAAATGTTTTTCCCGTGTTTCTTTTTAGTTTGTATATATGTAAAATATCTTTAAACGCGTTGTAGAAATTTTGTGGGGAGTACTCAGGGGACGGCCGAGAAAATGGGACTATCAGAATGAAAACGGAACATACCATTAGCCCAGGGTGGTGACGTCATGTAAAGCTGATGACGTCAGCACTTAGACCTATAAATCTGGAGAAGGCGCGGTACAACAGTGTTACATTTTCCGAGACCTCAGCTCACATAAACGACTTCGTTTGTGTGTGTGTTTGTGTGTGTGTGTGTGTGTCTGTGTGTGTCTCTGCGTGCGTGTGTGTGTACGTGTGTGTGTGTGCGTGTGTTTAACGTCTTTCCCTTCTAGGGTTGCAGTTTTCAAAGTGAAAATTTAACGAGCACAAATTCCGGAAACAAAGTTCAAACGTCAACAGTTATATTTTGCCACCACAAGAGGGGTATGGAATAACCAGTAGTCCCGTGTGTGTGAGTGGGGGGGGGGGGTGAAGGGCCAAGGGGGGGGGGGGTCTTGATCGAGTACTCGCAGTACTCTTTCAAGAACCATTTATGTAAAGCCAACCTTAGGGGTTAATCTAACAAATCGTCTTTGTGTATCCTATTAAAGTAAATTACCATACTAAAAACCAGGTTAAACAAACAAAGTGTCAGTCAATAATCGTATAACTTTGTTTCATTTATTTCCAGATTCTGTAAAATGTTTATATTTCACTATCATGATGTTGTTCATTATTCGGCTCCATGATTGCTGCCCATAAAATTAACACCTTAAAGATGAGGATCAAACCGGGGCACATCCTAAAAACCCCGTTCCGCAGTATAACACAGCTTTCTTAGGAAACCTGTGTGCGCTTACGGTGTAATCTATGGTCCAATACTGGGAATGGCAATTTTAACTGACTGACTGACTTTCCACTCCACCAGGACACTGCCCATATTGCGGCCCCCGGCAAAAGCCAGGGTGGAGCTTCAAACAAAAAATTTCATCCTGAAAAGGACGATAGAGAATAATACCATGCGTGTGGCAATTTTGTGTTTTATCCGGGGCTTTTTTCCCCCACATACGAATGGTTCCGGTACTCACCATAAAGTGTCTCACAAAAGGTGTCGGTACTCACCATAAAGTAGATATTACAATAGTGCAGTGAAAACATGCAGAAAAAAAAGGTTCTGGTGCTCCGAACCTGTGCGTACCGCCTAATATGAAAAGAAAAAACACCAGGTTTACCATTATCATGATGGAGCAGAGAGCTCTCTTTAGCCGTAACTAGCAGCAGGGGTGATAACCGTGATATTTCTGTAAGGACTGTCGGTTGCCGGGCCCTGACTTTCTCCAATGATCCGTTCACTGCAGCTTTGCATTCCCAGCCCTTTAGTGATGTGCGGCCGCAGGAATCGGAGACAATATCCGCCGTCATAGTAGGGCTGTGAGAGAGGATATCAGAGACAATGTTATTCTGCTGGTTATAAGAGGCTGTTATAGTTGTGGCTATCTAGTGTGTGCTGCCTGCAGCTGCAGTTGCTGCAGAGGTAGACAATATATACTAGATACACATACGATAATGTGATCACATCCCTTCTTCATCGTCTTTGTTACTGCTCGCAGACAAGCACACACACACACACACACAAAATCCTGATACATGTTGTGACAGGCCCAGGGCGGCTGTTGTATAAATTTTGATTAGTCTTAAGGCGAAACAAAAACCTGACAAACTTCAGGTCAGAAAGTTATAAAAGACACGGAAGCGGCCGATTCACCCTCTTAGGCATCCTCTGTTCGGACGAATAACATGTAGTTCTGAATTTCCCGTTGCGTTAAGGGGTTAATTATAACCTAATAAATCCCCAGGTCCAGATAAGATCCACAACATCTTGGCCGGTCTGGGAGAGAAGTAGTTCTCAGGCTTATTAATAAAACATGGAGATCAAGCAAACTTCCAAAGGCATGGAGGAATGCATATATCGTCCCCATTCTTAAAACCAAAAAGCCTCCAGACGACCCCAAAAGCTACCGCCCGATATCCTTAACATCATACTTGGGCAAAGTTGCAGAAAGAATGATAAACAGGCGCTTGAATTGGTTCCTAGAGAGTTCTGGTGTTCTATGCCATGATTAGGCAGGCTTCAGAACCAACAGCTGTACAGAAGACCAGCTGTTCAGACTGACACAAAGAATACATGACGGCTTCCAGAATAAGAAACACACAGTGGCCGTCTTTGTCGACTTCCAGCTGGCCTACGACAGAGTATAGAGAAAAGGTCTCCTGGTGAAGATGATGATGTATAGGAATACATGGCAGATTGTATAACTGGGTGAAATACTTTCTGATAGATAGAACAATCCAGACTAAGATACACAACGCAATCTCTTCTAAGGAAGTCTTGAAGGAGGGCTTGCCACAAGGTTCATCATTGAGCTGTACACTGTTTCTAATCTTTATCAATGACCTGCCAGAACAAATCAAGGCCGAAAAAGCCTTGTACGCTGATGACCTAGCAATATGACAGAGTCATGAAAATGTGGAAAGTGGAACCCAAAGACTGAATGGAGACCTTAGAATAGAAGACTGAATGAGTACTGCCAAAGATGGAAACTCAAGGTTAACTGTGCAAAGACGGTCTACACAGTCTTTACCAAAAGCCATCAAGTAGCAAGGAAGAATATTAACCTGAGGTTATACAAACACCAAGTGATGAAAGAAGAGCATCCTACATACCTTGGAGTCACACTTGACCTGCAGTTCAGCCTCAAGAAACATTGAAAACATAAGGAATAAGGCATTGAAGCGGTTACAGTTATTAAAGAGACTTGCATGTACATCATGGGGATCAGACAAGGAAACTCTGAGGGGCTTATATCTTAGATATGTTCGCTCTGTGATAGAGTACAACAACTCACTGCTTACATCCTGCTCCAAAACTAACCTATAGACTCTTGACAGAGCACAAAATAATGCCCTCCGATTAATCTGCGGAGCTATGCGGTCTACACCAACTGCTGCATGTGAAATCCATACAAATGTGGAACCCCTCAGGTTGCGGAGAGAAAAAGCCACTTTAGAAATTTATGAAAGATGCGGTAGAAAGAATCGTAACCATCCTAATAGACACCTTGTAGAAAACTGGGAATACAAACAAAGAATAAAGCACACATCGGTTTTACACTGTGTTCATGAAATTCAGGACAGATACCACCTCCCAGAAAGACGTCAAGGAATTCAGAATGTTGCAAGAAACCTACCACCACGTGATCGCTTTAAAGCTCCAGAAGTCCGAATTAAATTGGTCGGCGAGGAAACCAAACAGTCCCACACAATCGCTCCTATGAACTCGTCACTAAAGACTGTTGATTCTTACCCCCAAGAATGGATACATGTTTATACTGATGGATCTGCATTTAAAGCTACCATCAAAGCAGGTTGCCCACTGCAGGCTGCGTGGATTTTTATCGTGGTGTGGGACGTCGCAAGTCGACCCAGCCTCAAATGGGTACCAGGATGGGCTGTCTTGGGAAAGTAACGACGGCCGGCGTAATGCTGACCACATTACCCACCGAGTGCCTATTGGTCTGTAAAAATATGGGTGCTCCTCCCATATGCCCGATGCTCCCAAGGGCGTGTAAAGGTAAAGGGATCTTTACTTTACTTTACTTTTTAAAGAAGGTTACGGAATCTACATAGATTATCCCAATTGATCTGTTGAAGAGATTTTTGATGCATGCGGGGAATTCGGCTCAAATTATGAAGCCGAAATAATTGCACTGGAAGCAGCAGTATACCACCTAAAGACGGTAATGGATGTTTACCCTTCGAAGGCCCAAAATATTGTCATCTTCACAAATTCAATGTCTGCCCTTCAAGCTCTGGAGGGCAGTGAACGCTGCAGAACTGACATAGCCAAGATAATCCTGGATGCTGATCAGCTTATTACCTTATACAACATTAGAATATTGATGCATTGGATTCCAGGCCACTCCGGCACACCGGTTAATGACAGAGCTGACAGACTGGCAAAGAAAGGAGCAACACAAGAACAACCACCTACAGCGACAACCTTACAGACAGCAAAAACACTTATAAGAGCTATAAGCAAAGAGACTTGGTTGAATAAATTTGCCAAGGGAGACACTGGAAGAGAGGATTATAGACAAATGCCTGATCCTAATGACAGCATTAACCATCTGACAAGAAGGGACCAAGCCACCATCTTCAGACTTAGAACACAACATACTCCACTCAGTGGAAATCTAAACAGAATACAGCCACAGCACTCCCCAGAGTGCCAGCTATGTAACTTCACCTACGAAACTGTTGAACACCATCTCTTTGAGTGCCCAAATCTCAGCGAGACTAGAAGAATTCTACTCCCTTCGAGACCAGACAAGTGGAGCACCTTGTACGGAGGGAGAAAACAGCTTGTGAAAACATGCAAATTCCACTACATGGCATTGGGCCAAAGGGCGAAAGCTCGTGCGTAGCTGGATCGATAACAACAACAAAGACAACGTCTTTGTTACTGCTCGCAGAAAAAAAAAAAAAATCTTGATACATATTGTGACAGGCCCAGTGCGGCTGTTGTATAAATTTTGATTAGTCTTAAGGCGAAACAAAACCCTTGCAAACTTTAGGTCAGAACGTTATAAAAAACACGGGAGAGGCCCATTCACCCTCTTAGGCCTCTGCTGTTCGGACGAGTAACATGTAGTTCTGATTTTGCCGTTGCGTTAAGGGGTTAAGCGCAACACGGGTTGAGGTGTGTAGGCAGAGATAGGTTTCATCTGTTGTAGGGTATTTTCGAACACGTTGTGGATTTTAATGCATTATTATTTGTGGAGAACTTAACTTATGTTCAGTGAAATAAAGAGATGTTGAATGTGCAAATTATGGCCTCATTTTTGTGTTTATTCAGATCAGGACTTGTGGTTAGTGTTCCTAGTTTACTGTTACTGTTATCTAGACTATAAAAAAGATCTCCTGTCTGGGCTAAAATATTTCTGGTCCAAGTCTCTGCCTAAGGAACTCTTTTTCTTAATTTTTCTTGGTACTTACACTTTCGCTTCTAGTACAATACTTTCTTTAAGGCTGTGTCAACCGCAAAGAGAGCTGATTTAACGTAAAGAAAACTGGTTTAACGCAGCAAAGTGTTTGTTACTCTTCCCTCCCCCTCCCCATTTTTCTTCCTCCCCCCCCCCACCCCCCCCCCTCAAATGAGGCAGGCAGGTCAATTGCAGAGACAGCTGGTTGGTTAAATGTGGCAAAATGTGTGTGTGAGAGTCCGTGCGCGCATGCATGTGTTTATGTTATGCATCTAATACGCCAGGAAGGTCAACGGCAGAGAGAAAGAGAGAGAGAGAGAGGGAGAGAGAGAGAGAGAGAGGGAGAGAGAGAGAGTGGGAGAGAGAGAGAAAGACAGAGAGAGAGGGAGAGAGAGAGAGGGAGAGAGAGAGAGGGAGAGAGAGAGAGAGAGGGAGAGAGAGAGAAAGAGAGAGAGGGAGAGAGAGAGAGGGAGGGAGAGAGAGAGAGAAAGAGAGAGCGAGAGAGAGAGAGAGAGAGAGAGAGGGATAGATAGAGAGAAAGAGAGAGTGAGAGAGAAAGAGAGAGAGAGATGGTTCGTTGAATGTGGTCAAATGTGCGTGTGTCTGCGCGCGCCCGAGTTTATTCAAAGCAACAGATCAGACAGGTCAACTGCAGACTGCAGAGGCGCTGGAACCTGGAAGCCCTAACACATCCCCCCCCCCCCTCCCTCACCCGTTCCGGATGTGTACAGTTAGGCTGCGATCCACCCCGTTAGAAAATTTGCAAGGGGCTCAATTACTCCATCCTTCAACCACGTACAGAAATTATCTTTTCAAGTGTGTGTAGATACTTTTTACATTATGCCAGATACATAATTATTGCTTGTTTCCATTCAGCATATAATAATAGTAAGTAATATTATTATTATTATTATTATTATTATTAGCTGTATTGCTTACTCAAACAAGGCTTGTTTTCTTTGAGTCGGTGTCCCTACCAAAGACAAATTAATTTTAAAAAAGGGGTAGGGGGGGGGGGTAATAACCAGCTAAATTAACTACTTCGGAAGACTGAATGCAGATCAATGGCTTGACAGGCAAGCACACAAACGACTGTGCCACAAGGGACCCTGTACGAAAATAGGTAACTTGAGTATTAAATATTCATTCACCTGAATTCCGTCCCCAGGTACAGCTAGAGGCAGCTGAATGTCAAATCGCTCTGGGCACCTGCTTAAGAACTGGTTCCATTCCTCACGGGTCTGTGATGACATCACCGGGGTAGTCTCGAAGCGCCATCTCCTGTATTCTTTGGGGCTGATGCGAGGCCGGACGAGGAAGTCGGTAGGCGGCCGAGCGGGTACAGCTAGCGGCGCGACCACGGCTTCATTTCCTGGTACAGGTTAACATTTTAGCAGACATCAGTTTGTGAACTTTACAAACCTGGTATTGTTAAAATGTCATAGTATTAATGTTGTCTCTGTGTCGATAGTTGTTACTAAAGTTTCGCAAATACAGTGTATGCCACTTGATAAACTACACAAGATGGGGGAAATTTTGCACTCATTTCTGTCATCATATTCATCATCATCTAGCGCCTTTACGACTGACATAGGCGATCAGGCCTCTGACCTCTGGTACAGTGGTGTATGTGTACGTGTGTGTGTGCGCGCGTGTGTGCTGTATGCATGATGTATGTGATTTGTACTGTATGCATTTCGTGTGTGGTGTGCGTTGCCTTGTGCGTTTGCGGTATGTGTATGTCATCTCAGTGTGGTGTCTAGTGTGATGTAAGTGTGTGTGTGCGTGTGCGTTCGTGGCTAGTGTGTGTAGTATGTATGCATATCTCGTGTGTGGTGTTGATTTGGCGTGTTGTGTGTGCGATGTTTGTTAAACTGAGAATATTGAGAATATTGAGAAAATAATGAAACTTGTAAAGATTCATGCTTGTGCTTCATAACATGTCGATGAAAACTCTCTAGTAAAACAACTGACGAGATCACGCGAATAGGTTGCGCAATATAATGATTGTTGCCTCTGTTTTTAAATTCTTCTTCTTCGCCTTCACCAGCTGTACACTCTGGCGGAAAGTTCTGGTTGCTCGTCCACTAGTGAACTGCAGTCCTGATCCAGAACCTCAGTGTTGCGTGTGCATCAGTTTTACAGATCTTATTCTCTTGAATACAGACTGTTGGTTCCTTGCCTCTCCGGCAGATGCACTCCGACTTCAAAGGAAGCTCTCCAATTAGTCGACTCTTACGATTCTTAAGCGCTCTGTCCCCATCTTCAGCAGCCAGCGAAGAGTTCCGATACAAATGGTGCCAGTAGCTTTCTGATTAAACGTTCATCTTGCCTTTCCTCTGAGCCTCGAGCTTCTGCCAGAACCTCTCGTCACCCCCAACTGCAAAATCTCACCAGACTGTGGTGATCCATCTGCTCCTCCGAATTGTACACGCTCTCCCACAAAGCACTAACCACGTCTGCCCTATCATGTAGCAGTATTCCACCAAGTTGTACAGAGCCATCCAGTCTGTCCGCCTGTTCGTTTCCCAACACACCGGCGGACCCGGTGAAAAAAAAACAGAGAGAAAACATTGAAGTGGATTTGAATATCTAGAGTCAATGTTTACCTGCAAAGGAAAAAGGGGATAGAGAGATCAACATAAAATTTGCAAAGGGAAATCAGATTTTGGGATAACTAATACCGCTCTTGACATATAGGGTTGCTACCTATGTCTACCAAGCAAATCCAATAAGAATTAATGTTGGCCTTGTTTATGTTACCAGTGTCAGACATGCACTTTTACTAAAACTAACGAGAACAAAAAAATTTTTTACCACAGAGATCTGAGAAAAACTGAAGGAGTAAATAGAAATAATAACAACTGACAGTTAAGAACTCATAAGAAGATGAGAAATGAAACCAGTCAGGCAGTTCGATAAAGAGTAGTAGCTGAGATGGTTCGGCCATTTGACAAGAATGTCATGGTACCCACTGCCACACAGAGCCACCCTGAAAAACTATATTGAACACATACCAGGTGGAAGTAGATCACGTACAACATCGATAACAACCTTAGAGAAATTATGATTAACTCATAAAACATAGAAAGAACCCACAAAAAACCCTTACCCCCAACCCACCCACTTTGATGAGTTAACTAAAAGAAGACATATAAAACCGAACGAAAAGTATATTAGCGAGCTTCACAATATAACAAATACAAACAAAATGTGAACGTTGCGGCTATGGAGCCTTCATCAGCACATACAAATCAAACACAAATATACAACATCACTTAGAACTAAAAGAAAATGCACCAGCTGCTTATGAAGATTGTTCTACCTGATTCTTGACCGCTGGATGCCGGCCAGGGTAAGATGGTTGCTTCTCTCCGAATTCTCTCTGGAACACCCGCTATCCGGTCCTTGTAACAGAGACACTCCCTGGTGAAAAGGTTGTTCAAAGATATCACATGAGAAATAAAGAGATACAAGAGAGAGACATTTTTAAGGTCAAGAGGACCGACTAAACTGTTTCTGTGTTTATCATTCATGCCTAGCCGACGGATTACCTACAGAAGCACCCTTTTGATTCCATAGAACCTCCACCACATCTGCTTTATCACAAAGTTGCGCAACGCCGCGAGGAGCGGCCGCAGCTAATATATCAGCCTGTTCGTTACTTTGCACTCCAGCATTAAGGTAATAACAATTGAAACAAGCAAGAGGGTGTCTGAAACTGAATGTTCCTTTCAAGTGCTCGTTGATATTACGCATATTCTCCTGCTAATTCATTATGTGTCCCCCTCCCCTTTTTTCGGTTTCAAGTTGCTCCATATCCTTTGCTAGCTGTAGTATATTTGTCTTCTCCTTCCTTCGCGATCAAAAAGGGAGATTGGTACACAGTGTTATGCTTTACAGGTAGACTACAATAGCTTTACCTTTCGACCCAACACATCCGATTTAAGTAGTCTACTAATTCACAGAGCAGTTTGTGTGTGTGAGTGTGTGTGTGTGAGTTTGTGTGTGTGTGTGTGTGTGTGTGTGTGTTTTCAACAAAAATGCTTTCTGACTCTTTCGTTAATGAAATAACATAATTGGATTTAATTTCATTATTATAATTGAAGAGAATATCTACGTAGACAAATTTGATTTAAAAAAAAATATGAACTGGATTTATCAAAATGTAAATTGGGTTTGCGAAAGATTGAATTTAGCTTGCTTTTAATGTATTTGCCGTGTCACAAGGTCACAATGATTCAAATCTGAACAGGCCGGACATTTTATCAGAAATGACCTTCGTTATCAGGTCTAATCAGTTTTAATAGGTATTAAATAACGTTCTATGAAGTAAAGGCGGCCTGCGTGATTTTCAACACATCTCTCATCGAGTGATTGGTTTATTTAAAAAAATGCCTAGTCTTTACGTCCAAAGACGGCCTTGGTTGTCCTCAAAAGGAACATTGTTAGAGACGGTACTAAGTGGTGTTTGGCTCTTTCCCCGTGGTTTCACAGAGCGGTAACCCAGCAGGCAATAGGGCACCAGCGCAGCGACCAGCGCGAGTTAAACCGAGCACCAGCAACAGTCAGCTAAAACCTACAGAAATATAAGCTAAGACAGCTGGACCAGACAGACCCAGAAAGAACCCCAAGTACCACACCGGACTTAGGAAGACAAAAAAGGACAGGAAAATTAGGTGTGACTTCACACAACAAAGAGTAGGAAACCAAGTAAGATAGCCAAGGAACCTTCCTTCATATAGCAGGCATCCAGGCGCCTGAAAAATGATAGTTTGGGATTTTTGTTCATCAACTGGAATTGGAAATTGGAATAAGCCCAAAACGCCTGATGACGGGGAAAATGGGTTCTTTACTTTACCAGTCTTCTTCTTTCTTGTGTTCACCCGCTGTAACTCCAGCGGAAAGTTGTAGTTGTCTGTCCAAGTCTGGATTTTAGTCTTGTTCCAAAACATGAGTGTTGCATGCACATCCGTTTTACATGTCTGACTTATTTCTACACAGATTGCGGTTTGCTTGCCTCTCCAGCAGATGCACTCCGACTTCGATGGAAGCCTCCAGTTAGTCGACTCTTACGATATGTTTGTTAGGGAAGCAGTGCGTCTTTTTTTGTTGTCCACCACATTGTGGCCACTGAACCCGCACGAGGAGCATGTCCCACCACGTAACCACAACAACAAATATCGCATACATCACGTCTTAGTGTAGCCAAGTGTCACGCCATGTAAACACAACAACAAATATCACATACATCACGTCTTAGTGTAGCCAAGTGTCACACCACGTAAACACAACAACAAATATCACATACATCACGTCTTAGTGTAGCCAAGTGTCACACCACGTAACCACAACAACAAATATCACAATATCACGTCTTAGTGTAACCAAGTGTCACACCACGTAAACACAACAACAAATATCACATACATCACACATTAGTGTTGCCAACTGTCGCACCACGTAAACACAACAACAATTATCACATACATCACGCCTTAGTGTGGCATACTATAGCACCACGTAAACACAACAACAATTATCACATACATCACGCCTTAGTGTGGCATACTATAGCACCACGTAAACACAAAAATAAAAATCACATACATTACGTCTTAGTGTAGCCAACTGTGGCACCACGTAAACACAACAACAAATATCACATACATCACGTCTTAGTGTGGCCAACTGTGTCACCACGTAAGCACAACAACAAATATCACATACATCACGTCTTAGTGTGGCCAACTGTCGCACCACGTAAGCACAACAACAAATATCACATACATCACGTCTTAGAGTAGCCACAACTATCTCAGTGAGGTTAAGGTAGGTAAGTTTTACCCCACCAGAACAACACAAAAGCGATAAACACCCGTTGACACAATACACCACCATGCGGATGAGGATCAGCGGTGGAGAGGTCCAGGAAACCCTGTTCGACAGTTAGGCCATATTTAAGGCCCAGCTATATTTAGGGCCCCTGGCAAAAGCCAGGTTGGGACTTTTAAAAAACAAACTTAAAATTGCATTCCACAGGGGATGACAGTTTGACTCTCCTCCGAACTTCTATCCCGGCATTATGGCGGCCAAACAAATATCCTTACCTCAAAAATTTGCGAACTTCCGACGACGAAGAATCGCGGCAAAACTAGGATTACCTGACAATTTTAAGAGCCGCAACACTGCAGACGATTGTAGCAGACGATAATAGCGACCGTTGACACTTTCGAGCGTTTCTGCAGACGATACTAGCAGACGATACTAGCGACCATTGACACGTTCGAGGCACGCAACATTACAGACGATAAAAGCGACATGGCGGGGAGACCACGCGCTCCGACGCAGATTAGCGTCGTCGTTTTCGGCATGCGCAAAACGCGGTTACACTCACCACTGACAGTATCACTTAACTAGATGCCTGGGACACGAGCAAATAAAATAGAGGAAGTTGCAGGAGATGCGGTAGCAGCTGCTCGTGAGGCATAGCCACCTAAATTAGCCCCTATCCGCGCCGATCCGTGGGGATAGGGTCGGCGGTGGAGCATAGTCACAGAAACCGGTCCGCAATTAACATATCGCTGAGACGCTGATAGAGCATTTGTTTCGTTATACGGAGCCGATCCTAGTTTTGCCGCTAGACAGGAAGTCCGAGGCCCTGTAAGGATATTTGTTTGGCCGCCATAATGCCGGGGTAGAAGTTCGGAGGAAAGCCGACAGTTCTATAAGTAGTATAAGTATGACAATGAGTAATGAGGTTAAGCAGAACATGTCTAAAATATTGACGAACGTACTCACTGCCTCATTCTCTCCACGCTGGACCTCCTAAATGCCGGTAGTGGTTTGCTTCTGTAACAGTCGAAGCAGTCGCACAGCTGCTTCTGTTTGAAACTCGGGTACTGGTAGTTGTAGCTGTTGTACCACAGCGCGTCTACTCGTGCCGGCTTAAAAACGTCTACTCCTACAGTTGTCATGGCAATCCTCAGGTTAACTTTCGCCTCTGGACAATATATAATTCCATAGAACAGAAGAGTCAACTGGTTTGGCTATTTGATCGGAATGGGTGACAACAATCGACAAGCAACTAGAGCGTATTACATGAGAACAGCAGGCTACAAGGCAAGAAGTTGACCATGAAAAAGATGGGCGAAGGAGCTACAACAGAAAGGCAGTATGACATTATCACAAGCTACGCAACTAGCAGAAGACTGGAAACCTGCTATAACTCCTCCCTGACACGCCTTATGGCGAGTTAGTGAGTGTCGCTCAACCCCACCAGGACACACAAAAACCACCTATAACTCCTCCCTGACACGCCTTATGGCGAGTTAGTGAGTGTCGCTCAACCCCACCAGGACAGAAAACCACCTTTACCTCCTCCCTGAAACGCCTTATGGCGCGTTAGTGAGTGACGCTCAACCCTACCAGGACAAAAAAAAACCCACCTAAAACGCCTTCCTGGCACCCTTTATGGCGAGGGACGCTCAACCCCATCAGGACAGTAACATTAGTTGCGTATCCTTTACAGGACGTTGCAGAACCAACCCCAGCACTTTCTGGCTGTTGTGGTTTTTCTAGGCAAATTTACGTCCAGTAGTTTGACAATGTCGTCTCTGTGGCTAAGTCGATGCGAACGCTTAGTAATGCCGGGATGGCGGGTTCGATCCCAGCCACGGGCCATGCGCCTTGTGTTGGTTTCGACAGTTCTATCAATAATGCCGACAGTACAGTAAGCAATGACAAACTACTAGACGTAAATTTGCCTTGAAAACCCACACAACAGCCAGGAGATGCTGGAGTTGGTTCTACAACGTCCTGTAAAGGATACGCAACTGACCTAGTTTGTCATTTCTCTCTGGACGGTCGCTTCTCGGTACCACGGTCGAAACCGTCGCAAGACAAATCGTCAACAGCAGGGATCGAACCCGACACTCCGACATTACGAGGCGCGTTCGCAACACCTAAGCCACAGACGCCGACACCAGGACAGTACAACGAGTGATAAACACCCGTGAAATAAGGTGCCACCATTCGCATGAGAATCACACCAGAAACTGTTATGTCATGTTGGGACCCCTGATAACTGTCAACAGGACACACGAATAGTTGCCAACTAGCTCGGTCACTTACTAGATACGCCTGGCCAAACTAGAATAGAACAGATGTTTGTACACATTGGGGAGGACCCATAGGCAAAGTAACAACGAGAATCGGTTTAGGTTTAGACGGGAGTCGCCGTGGCCGAACGGCTAGACGCTCGCCGCGTAACGGAAGGTCGTGGGTTCGCTCCATGGCGAATGACCTTGACTCCCAGGTCGACCCAGTCTTGAGTGGGTATCGGGTGCCGGCGTGATGCTGACCACATCACCCATCTTGTGCCGATTGGTCTATAAAAATATAAGTCTAGCCCAAATGCCCTATACACCTAAAGGTGTGGAAAAGGGTCCTTTACTTTACTTTACTTTCATGTTTAGATGATGGATGAACGTCATGGCACAGAGGCTAGCAACCCATAAGTGCTCCGTTCTAGTTTTGACTCAAGCCTAAGTCAAAAGAATCTCAGCGCAGTGAACGAACTCCGTAGCACAGCAAGAAGGAGAATGAACCGGGTGGAGGATGATCCGAAATATAAAAAAAAAGGCTATCCTCCGAATAACGGGCACTAAAGATGGCGGCCGCTAAATATCCTTACGAGCCTCAGTCACGTGTCACCGAATTTGCGGTTTTCCAGCGACTATCGCCACCGCAAAGAGTCCCACACGCCGCGCGGCGTGGATTGGGGCTAAACTAGATGGCTAGGACTCACGAGCAAAACTGCAGGATATGCGGAAGCTGCTGCTCGTGAGTCCTAGCCATCTAGTTTTGCCCTAATCCACGCCGCTTGAGCGGCGTAGGGGAATCATGGCGTTGGCGTTAGTCGCCAAAAACCGCAAATTAAGTGTCCGGAAGTGGGCAATTGACACGTGACTGAGGCTCGTAAGGATATTTTGCGGCCGCCATCTTTGGTGCCTTTTTTTCGGCAGATAACCAAAAAAAAAAAAAAAAACATGAGTAAGATAATGAAAGGGGAAACACGTTAGGACACACAAAGGGAAGGAGCGGTCTCTCTTTGAGGACAGTATCAATACGCCATAGGGATGGCCCACAACCACAATCTTAACCGCGCAAAAAAAACAGACCACAGATATAACCATAGACAATATGAGATAAGCCAGACAAGGCAAATTTTCAACACTGTCTTCTGCTTGTTTTAAATTATATTAAATCTGAAATCCTGAAGCCTTAGATATCTCATTTACTCAAGATAATTCAGATATTGTTTCGTTTATTTAAAAAAAAATGTCGCTCACTTATCTTGCTGTGTTCTCGGTATACTTTTTAGTAAACATTATATTTGTCTAACATGGTGCATCTTTAGCAAATAGGAGCGGAGAAAACCCTAACATGTTTCGCCTGTGGTACTACACACTAAAGACTTGGATTTTAAACCCCAGATATATAATAGTTTTCAAGAATCGAAAAATGGAAGGCGCAAGCATTGTCAAAGGCGAGAGACGGTAGAAAAACTAATGATTACATGACTCAACTTTTCGCTTACGGCCACCAACACTTACAACCATAACAAAATAAATTAATTTTTTTTTAAATTAATAAAGAAAGCGATAACTATAATGAGAGGGTCAAAATACTTTTTCTTCTTCTTCTTTCGTTAGCTTGAAATCGATTATCTATATCTGCAATGTTGTAGTTCTAGTATAAACTTACATAACTGATAAAACAGACTGCATGTTATGTGTGTGTCTCATTATGTACAATTATTATACCTGTACAGATCGAATGTTTGTGTTTTAAGAACAATTTTTAAAACTTGTTTTTAAAAAATAAACAATGTTGACCTATATAAAATCGACTTGTGACCTATTCTTCGTAACGAACTCGGTTATAAGTCAAGGACTCAATATAGACACCAAGTACTTACTGTAATAACACCCCTCCAATCAGGGGATGCAACTCGTTATTTTAAGACCTAACTTCGGCTGTGGTCGGGGGCCAAAATTTAAACTAACGGTTGAACGGGGTTTCTGGGATTTGGGTCCGCGTGATAATCATCTTCTTCTTCTTCTTCTTCTGCGTTCGACATCAGTCATGCTAAACACTGAGTCCCGTCTGGGTCACAAATAGGTTTGTGCGTTTAAGGTCGCCACCGGTCCCCCATAGCTTCTCTTGCAATGTGGCTCCCTTGGGCCAGATCCACAGTCTTTTCTGGGAGAGGTAAGGGGCAGTTCTGCAGTATTTGCCCAGGAGTCTGTCTTTCTGCTCCACAATCACAGGCAGCAGATTCTTTTATGCCTATCCTGTACAGGTGTGCTCGAAGACCACAGTGTCCAGTCCGAAGTCTAAAAATTGATGTTTGTTCTTTCCTGTTGTTTGTTTATGCTGTCACTCTCTGGTCTGTAATCTCCATTCTGCCTTCTCCACTCCCGCTTGAAAGACTACTTTAGCGCTGTTTTGGTTTCCTTGTAGCTGTGTGGTGGATGAAGTTGTGGAAGATTACTCCCAGCTTTTGCCAACTCATCTGCTCTCTCATTTCCTTGAATGCCACAGTGGACTGGTATTCACTGCAAGACCAGTTCTGCTTCCTTGGATAGTAAACCAATGTTGGTCCTTAGATCTGCAATTAGTTTGTCATCTGAATGGTTGCACCTTGTGCCACTGGGTGTTGGTCGCTCGTTGTTGGGTTCTGGTGGGGTTGAATAACAGACAGACAGACAGACAGACAGACAGACAGACAGACAGACAGACAGACAGACAGACAGACAGACAGACAGACAGACAGACAGACAGACAGACAGACAGACAGACAGACAGACAGACAGACAGACAGACAGACAGACAGACAGACAGACAGACAGACAGACAGACAGACAGACAGACAGACATGTATATATTATCACTCTACTTTACTAACCTGATCTTGATTATCCTCATACGACTACATTGATTACCCCAGCATCTAGATCCTGCTACATTCTCTAATTTCTCTAGTCTGCGGGTACCAGTCAGCGTGTAAGTACTGTAAGTCTTGATTCGACGAAATGCCCGTGTTCTGTCTGCATAGTATTTTTGTTTGAATCAGTGCGGCAAAAGCTTCTAATATTGTCGGTTCAACATCGGTGCCAAGCTGTGCATTATTCGCAGCTCATTCTCTTCCTATAGATTCATCTTCTTAATATTACTTTTTTTTTAACAGTTTCTGTTTGTGTGTATTATACACTGTATATATTTTGTGAGTCTGTTTTGCAAGTGTTGCTGTTTGTAAGTGTTTTGTAGGTTTCATTCTGATGTTTAAGAAAAACACAAGAGAAGAAAGGGGAATTAGGAGGGATGGAGACTGACTGGTGGTGGGCACTTTTAGTTTATTCTTCAGCGTCAAGTTTTTCCTTGAGGTTTGTTGTCTTTACTTGTTTGAGGTCTGTTTCAAATCTCATTGCTGCCTTGTCAAAGGCTTTTTTTATTCTCACTGTAGAAATAATACATTTCCATGCCTTCGCATTTTGGATCGTGGTTGAGTAAAGCTCTTGAAATTTCTAATAATTTCTGTTGTAATGGTAATAGAGTTTTAGCGCTTTGTGTAGTTGGTTTATATCCTCTATATCCCAAGATGATGCTGATATCCCAAGGCTCCTTTGTCCGTGGCATGGCCACAGTACTAGTACTGCTGGAGTTGGCCATGATCAGCGGCATCGGTAAAGCTATCTGGAATTCAACTAGAAATTTCTCCTCGGGTGCTTGAATGTCTTCTTAAGTTTCTTTGTGTTTGGTTGTGTGGCTTCTTTCTCTGTATATGTGGTATCCTTGGTTGTTAGTTCTTTTTTCCTTTGGTGGTATTTTTTTTTTTTTTTTTTTTTGATTTTCTGTTATTGTTTGTGTTGACATTAGTTGTATTTGTTTCTTTTTGGTAGGGATTGTACTGTCTTTTTGAGTACTAATTATCTTTTGAGATGTTGGTTTAGTGATGTCCGGGATGAGGGGCATCTGCTGATGTGACAACCTTTTCTTTGTTGTCCATTGAAGATTGTGTTGGTAGTGACAGTATTGTGACCTTTTTTGGCGTTGAAGGCATATCTGTGTCTTTGTCTTGTTGAGGTCCAATCGTTTCTTTGTCCCGTGGTCTTAAAAACAGAGTTGTTGTCATGACCGATTTCCTTGTTTGTTTGACTGGACATTTATTTGACCAGTGATCTTCTTCTTCTTCTTCGCGTTCACCAGCTGTAAACTCTGGCGGAACGTTCTGGTTGCTCGTCCACTACTGAACTGCAGTCCTGCTCCAGAACCTGAGTGTTGCGTGTGCATCAGTTTTACAGATCTCATTCTCTTGAATACAGACTGTTGGTTCCTTGCCTCTCCGGCAGATGCACTCCGACTTCAAAGGAAGCTCCCCAATTAGTCGACTCTTACGACATGCTTTTGGGGAGGCAGTGGGTCTATTCTTGTTTTCCCCACAAAGGGGCCCCGGAACCCACACGGGGGTGACCAGTGATCATAGTGGCCGCAATGCGTGTATGTGATGCACCTTTCCGGAATTCGGACTTATGCTCGATTCTTTTGGTTGATGGTGTCTGGAGTGTTCCATATTAGGTAATGTCAAATGTCTTTCTTGGGTCGACACAAGACAAACCATTTGAGTATCTCTTTAATGGTATGCACTTCCGGGGCTGCATCCCGTCATCTGCTTTATTGCCACTTTCACTCCTTCTTTTGTTATTTGGCTGGGTGCATAGTCCCGGAATATTTTTATCTTTTCTTTTTCTAAATATTAAATTGTCACACTTAGACCTTCGTTTGAGTCTGTAATTTTCCCATGTAGGTCTTGTAGATTTTTTTTTTTTTTTGTTTTTTGTTTTGCAAGAAGAAAAACCATCTTGTGGGTGCTTCATTTCTGTGTAAATCTTGTATGGCCTCTTGTGGTTTTCCAGACTGTTCAACCAAAGATGATAAGATGTAGTCTGTTCTAGCTTGGACAGCGGCACCTCTTCCACTGATCGTACAAAACTAATGTAATGTGAGGAGGAGAACGAGTGAACCGTGCGGAGCACAGCTAGATCATCACGGTCTGAGGAGAATGGTACTGCTAGGAGCTACCAGGGGATCTGGCCGACGCTCAACACTCAGGGCAAAGGTAATATTAATGTAATCACACAGTCACTGGTACCATCGGAAATGGAACTCTACGCTTGAAGATGGGGGCGGAGTGCTAATGGGAGTGTCTCGAGTGCTGTGATGTCGATTCTTAATTCAACATTCATTTTCTTCTTCTTCACGTCCTCTTTTACCCGCTTCGGGTGCCGAGGGCGCTTAAGGTCCTGCTTCGTGCTCTTCTGGCTGATTCCACCATATACACATCGTGGTGCTGCAGCGTTACTTTGATTTTATCTACCCAACTTGTTCTAGATCTGGCTCTTGCCCTACGTCTTTCTTCTTCTTCTTCTTCTTTTTTTTTTTTTTTTGGGTACATGCATTGTAAAGTGAATCATCAGAAGGAATACTCTCAAAGTGGGCAAACTATTCAACATTGTGGGAGCTGAGTGGTTTTTTAGGCATGGCGTCCGTCTCGAGTACTGGAGGTCCCCGGTTTAGGCCCCGGCGACGGCTGAGATTATTCCACGGGGACTTCTAGGAATTTCCCTTTGGTCTCTGGGTAATAAGATGGGACTTCCGTGTGTATTGATGCGCACGAAAAAAAAAAAAAAAACAATTGATAGAAATTGAAAAGAATAGCCTAACGGCGCGGCCCCAGCAAAACTTGGAGTTTAAATTCTACCCAAATTTTTTTCAGGATCCTCACTGGTGCTACGGAGTTCGTGCACTGCGCTGTGATTCTTTGGACTCAGGGTTTATTCAGAAGTAGAACGGGGCACTTATGGGTTATCCCTTGTGCCATGACGTTGATTTGTTATTTAAACCTAAAACTAATGACGACCGGTTTGAAACTTTATAATCTGTTTCGTAGATAACGGGTGACGGGTGAATGTTTTTGCAAACCTGCAGTAATGTGACTGACATAGTGCTAATAAAAAACTACGCTTCGGAAATCGCAAGAGAAACGAATCTCTAGGAAGAGGATGTCAAAGAAGATGGAAACTGATCAGAACGACAAAGAAGGAGTAGCAAAACCAGACAAAATGTTTACCTTAAAGAAGTGGAATCTTGTGGCCATGTGGAGTTGGGATGTAGAGTGTGATACATGTGCAATTTGCAGAGTCCAAGTAATGGGTAAGCTCATTTTTATCATTTTAAATTTTACAGGATTATTATATATTAATTATTATTGTTAGTTTTTTAATATTCATCAATTTTATAGTGACAGTAATGTTATACTTTAAAAATTTATTTAATTAAATCCTGTTCTTCTTCGCGTTCGTCGGCTGTAAACCCCGGGGGGGGGGGGGGGAGTTCGGGATGTTCGTCCACCTCCGGACGTTAGTCTTGCTCCATAATCTGAGTGTTGCGTCCGTTTCACATGTCTGGCTTATTTGTATCATCAGTATCAGTGTATGCAGACTTGTGGTTAGTTGCCTCTACATATTGGTTGGGAGGCAGTGGGTCTGTTCTTGTTTTCTCCTAAAGGGGACCCAGGAACCCACACGGGGTATGTTATAATTAAATAATTTGATTATTGATTGACGTTTTTTAAAGAATATATAAATAAAATAAAAATAATAATGTTACTATTTTTTTCTTAGTAATTTATTAAAGTAAAACTAAAACACTTCGCTCGACATCATAGTTATATTAATTTATTTCAATTTTTTGTTGATAATTTTGATACAATGATTAGTGATGATGGCACTCCTTTGATTCATTCCCCAAAATAGCGGCATGCCACATTGTGGCCATCATAAAATATCCAAAATATCCGAACGACGGTGTTCCCGTATATCTAAAATACGGACTGTCTGCCAAGGGACAAATCGCGGCAAAACTAGGATTACTTGACAATCACTATCAACATTTGCACACGGTACTAGTAGCAGACGATAAATACCACCGTTGACAAAAATTTCGAGCGTTTCTGCAGACGACGATACTAGCAGACGATATTAGCGACTGTTGACCTATTTCGAGACATTACAGACGATGAAAGCGATTAGCAATACTGTGTTCTTCCGATTGGAGGATTTAGCAGCGGTAGATGTCAGATTTGGCATGCGCCAAACGCGATTAAACTCATCGCCGAGCGTATCTAGAATCTATTTGCCTGGGACTCACGAGTACAGTAATTGGAGGAAGTTGCAGGAGATGCGGTAGCTTCCACTCGTGAGTCCCAGCCATCTAGTTTAGCCCCCATCCGCACCGCGCGTAGCGGCGCGGGGGATACGCTCGGCTGTGAGGCACACTCGCAGAAGCAGATCGGCAAGCACCGTATCGCCGAGACCCTGTCAGAGCATTTGTTTCGTTATCCGGAGCCGGCACATATATTTTGAATAACTGACCCGCATTCGGATATTTTGGATATTTTATTTCAAGAAATTGGCCAATTTAGCTCTCTTTCGAACGCCATCATATTAAAGCCGCCATTTTGGGGAACGATTCAAAGAAGAGCCGTGATGATTAATATATAGAACATCTTAAGTTATTTTTGGTCAATTAGTCATTATAATTTTAGTTGTTTACCCAATCTAGCAATATGTCAATATGATGAAAATAATAATGTTATGTTGACACCGCCATGTGGTTACATTGATTCATTCTCAGTTTAAATTAATTATTATAAGTTATACTTAGTTGTCGATAGTATTATTATAAATATAAATATTTACTCTTTGAATCCCAGCGTGTTTAGCATCTGAGGCCCAAGGGATGGTAATACAATTTTGGGTTCTCCTTCAAACTACGGCCGGTTGGTAGGAGTTCAGTCCCCTGACTACAGTGCAATTACGGAGTGGAGAAGGCACGAATCACAAAACAAAGTGCCGTCGACATGGCTGCTAGAGCTAGACCACGCGCTGCGACTCACATTAGCGACCGCGTTCTTGCGACGCAAGACTAGTGGCCGTACATGTGACACCTGCGGATCTGTATACCTTAAGTGTTACCCTAACCCAAACCCTAGCCGTATGATGACAGCAGGGCACTGCATACTGTCTATCCAACACACAGTAATTATGTCATTTGTTTTGTTCCCTCTTTTCTACTCCGTAATTGCACTGCAGCCAAGGAACTGAACTCCGACTAACCGGCCATAGTTCAAAGGAGAGCCCAATTTTGAAATCTCACAAGGTAACACATTAAAACAGACCAACTGCCACACAACATACACATATTATACATCAAAGTGACCAGGGCCTGTTGAGGAATAAATTAGAATACTGCTTCTTTTTCTTCTTCTTCAGCATTTCGAGCCCTTGAGGTTCATTGCTGCAGATATCACCCGCCTCCATTTATCTCTGGTTGGCTTTCTCTTTCCACTTGGACTATCTGGACATTATCTCTCCATTGTCTTCTTGGTCTGCCTCGTGGTCTACGACCATCCATGTCCTTTAATACAGTTTTCACTTCTCTGTCATCTGACACTCTCATGATGCCAGTGATCAATGGGAATTTAAACAGATATACTGCTACAAAAATAAATTATCTTAGTAGGTAATTATTAGTAAATAAACTGGCATGTTTAGAGAAATTATTACCATGAAAATGAAAAAAAAAAAATTTTCCACTTACCACAGTGGCACTCAAGAACTCGATAAAATATATCCAAAATGAATCACCATTTTACAGGAACCATTTAGTAATGCAGATGATATAGCATGGCACTCCTATCACATAAACATGAGCATATACAAGAAACAAGTAACAGACTACACAGCACAGCAGAAATGGTGGGACTGAGAATAAATACAAAGAAAACTAAGATCATGACAAGCAGTCCAAACCAACAACCAGTGACCATAAATAACCAAACTCTTGAAAACGTAGAACATTTCACATATCTTGGCAGTGTGGTTTCCCTGCCGGGAGGGACCGAAGAGGACATACAGTCACGTCTGAAAAAAGCTAGAGCTGCTTTTGGGAGGATGAGGCAAATCTGGAAATCCAACAATTACTGCAGAGGAACTGGAAATGCTGGAAAATGACCAAAAAATATGCACACAAGCTGTCTATCTTCCACCACACATGTCTACATAGAATTATCAAAATTTTCTGGCCAGATACAATCTCAAACACTAAACTACTTCAAGTCACAAACCAAGAAACTTTAGACAATATGATAACCAAGAGAAGATGGAAATGGTTTGGCCACGTTATGAGAATGAACCCTGATATACCTGCCAAAACAGCTCTCACATGGACACCAGAGGGAAAAAGAAAACGGGCTCCCAAAAACAACATGGAGAAGAACGATGGAAAGTGACCTGAGTGTGGCATCTTTGACATGGAAAAACTGCACTGAAGATTGCACAGGACAGGAAAGCATGGAAAGTCTTCTCTGAAGCCTCATGTGCCACTAGGCACAACGAGAACTGATGATGATGATTTAGTAATGAATAAATAAAATATAAACACACTCTGTCCATTAGATTTCATTCCAGAGAAAGTTTTAGAACATCATGATTGAGCACCATTTTTTGGGGTTTAAAAAAATGACTTCTGAAAACATCTTTTTCACACCCAAAATATAGTTTATATGACAGTTTGCTTGTAACTGGGACTGTAGCCGGCTCTCCCCCCCCCCCCCCCCCCTTCCCCCCCCAAAAAAAAAATAAAAAATAAAGGAATTGCACTAGACCTGACTTACAGTACACAGAAAAAATGTCCTTTTTCACTAATATTTGTTCGTCTTGTACCAGCTGACTTTGTTATTGTTGTATACTTTACCTGAGGTATATATCAGAGGTATCTCTCATCAAAGTTTGACTTTTATCAATGATTGAAACAAACATGCTTGGTAACTTGTTTTTGTCTAGCTTCCAATAAATCTTGTATCTACATTTGAGGCTTCTAAAGTCAGAAATCTTGTTGGCGTGCATGAAGAAGTCTGAACAGAAGCAATCTTGTTTTCACACAGACACTTAGTATAACTCGACAAAGCTCACACACATGCTACATTTTATGCTTTCAGACACGTTTCCGAATAAGCCTAACGGTCAACATGTGTGACATCAGATAAAGATAAAAAAAAAACAGGAAATACCATTCAAAACTGACTAGTGGTTGGTTAAAAACCAGTATATACTGCGCACCAGTTGCACGACAGGGTTGTAACCATTTAGTGTTCCTAATTCGATGCGTTCCTCTGGACTTGAAAGAGTTAAACATATGTATTGATCGGTACTCATTGGAGATATAAGGATACATTAGACAAGAAAAGAATTGAAAGCTATGTTCTGCTGAGTCCTTCTGTCTTTCCTCTTTCTAATTCTATGGGTATGAGGGCCAAGCAGTACTATGTTCGTTTATTGTATAAATTATTTCTACAGCCTTAAGGGTTCTTCCTGTGTTAATTATTAAATACAAAAATAATTATTTATTGTATTATTTGATAATAACAAGACACTCGACGCGGATCAGAAGGTTGTGGGTTCGCTCCCTGGAGGAGCCAGACCTTTTTCAAAACTTACCTTGGCTTCCAGGTCGACCCAGCCTTGAGTGGGTACCGGGTGCAGTCCCGGAAAGTAGAGGCGGCCGACGTGACGCTGACCACATCACCCATCTTCTGCCAATTGGTCTATAAAAATATGGGTCTAGCCCCTATATGCCTAAAAGTGTGGAAAATGGTCCTTTACTTTAAAAAAAAAATAATAACCAGAAGAAAGAATTTAATTTGTATTTAATAATTAGATGTTGTGAGGGCCCAGGTGCCTTGCCAGCTGGGGCAGGCCTTCATGCGTTGCCACAGATCTCAATCTTTGATGTTCTGGATCAATTCTACTGATGATATTCCTCTGTGCCACTGTGTTAAGCCATCCACCATAATTTCTCTTGGTCTGCCTCTGCTACCGGCGATCTTTCCAGTGGTCACAATATTTTCCACGGCTCCTTTTCTCATCACATGACCAAAGCACTTGATATGTTGTGTTTTTATTCAGTCATTTCTTTTTGCAGATGCATGTCTGAGGTGTCAGTCGGAAAACAAACAGGATGATTGTGTTGGTAAGTGCTCAGAGGTTTCTAATTCTTATTTCAGATATCACATACCATCTGTTTTCTGCTGTGTATTTAATCTTTAAAAAAGTTTATTGGCTTTCCTTTGCAGGGCATATCGAATGAGTGCTATCTTTTTACCACGCCTCGAGACGAATTAGGCGTTTAGGTTTGGTTCAATATTTTATAGACCAATTGACACCTAGTGGGTGATGTGTTCACCATCATGCTGACCTCCTTTACTTCCAAGGTCCCCATTTAAGGCTGAGTTGAAGTAAGTGGTTATCCTTTGTAGAAAGGACATCGCAAACAAGCACCAGCATTTGTGAAGTTCAAAAGTGAGAAAGCTACTTTTACAAAACATATCTCCAGTCAATGGTGTGGAAGAATATCCTTAATAGTGATCACCCAGAATTTCTAGGATTGAAATCTAACGAGAGACAAACACTTGGGTCAAGTGGCAATGGAGATAAGAGCGCTTCACAAATGGCTTGTCTAACCTCTATCTTTGTGCTAGGTTTGGCTGGTGTTTGAGGCATTGGGCATGCAAATAATCTTGCAGACACTGGTGGCTGATCTGATGTTGGGGACAGAAATGGTGTTGTCAATAGATGTCACAGATTTTGAATACTTGGACTCTATAGTGAACAACAGTGGAGACAACTCGAAAGAAGTAAGAAGAAAACTGGCATTAGCAATACAGAGATTGAACAGCATGAAAAACCTATGATAAAGCAAATTATTTAAAATAAAAATCTTCAGATCATGCATTTTTCCTGTGGCACTTTTGGTGCTTTTGAATTAAAATATTATAGAAAATTCTCAGAATACCATGAATCAAGAAGAGGAAAAACATTTACATTCTACACGAGTTAAACATCGAGGAGAGCTGGCTCATAAACAGTGTCCTGTCCCGAAAGCTGGCGTATTTTGGCCACATCAAACATCATGGTGGCTTGGAAAAGACGGTGATGGTGGGTGCAGTTTGTGGAAAGTTAGGCAAGGGTCGACCTTCTCGAAGATGGATACAGGACACTGAAAGCACATGGGGCTGGAGAGCTGGCTAGGAAAAGGGATACTTTTAGGTGCGGCGTGAAGAGAGTGACGTTCTGTAAAGAACATGCTGACTGTTGATGATGGTGTTATCAATGCCGTGCGCAGCCTTTACCATGAAGATGGTAAAGAAACTGGCTGCATATCCTTGTCCAGGCTGATGGACTAGGTATTGTAACATCAAGCTGCGAGCTATCAACATTTCACTGAAGGTACATATGGCGCGAACATTAATTTTATAAAAAACATTTCTAGTGTTGTATTAAATGAGGTTGCATTCCTTCATTGATAGACAATGGTTACATGTATTTTTTAATAATAAATACATCATAAAATACACACAAAAAACTCAATGGAGGGAATGGAAAGGATGCACAGAATACAGCTGAATGCTTTGATCAATGTCTTTATCAACAGAATACTAAATACAGCAAACTGAATGGAAAAGACAACAGAGCTTCTGTCGCCCCATACTTTCGACATAACTTTAGATGTTTTTGTTTTATGGAAAAATTACTAGTGTTGTTTTTTTCAAACAAGGTTCCATTTATAGATTTTAGACGTACTGGGCATGTTGTAAAATTAAAAGAACCTTATTCCATGCATACTGGGCATATAGGGCTAGACCTATATTTTATTGAACAATTGGCACTTTTTGGATGATGTGGTCAACATCACGCTGGCCGCTTTTTTTTCTTCAGGACTCTGCCTGGTACCAACTTAAGGCTGGGTCAACCAAGGAGCCAATGACATTTTCGAAAAAGGTCTTGACTGTATCAGGAACTGAACCCATGACTTTCTGATCTGTAGGGAAGCATCTAGCCACTACACCACTGTGGCTGCCTTGGGCATATGGTGCCAGCCATATATTTTATAGAATTGATATAGCTGGCCTGCCAACATTATTTTTTTTTTCTGAATGTTTCCTTGGGTCCAGTGTCGAATTAACCTCATATATAAATATACCATTCATTATCCTGGCAGCCAGTGGGATGTTGATCAGATCACTCAGTGAGTGTAGATTATACAGGGTTATTCAAATTATGGATACACTTTCAATCATGAATAGTTCCTTGCAAATACATTGAATTTGAACGTTATACATACAAGAGAGAGGGGAAGGCCTAACATTTTGAATACTATTTCTAGAGCGCAGTTGCTTAACCAACCATTTGTATCACAGCTGCCGTGAACTCACTTACGCAAGAGATTCTTCTTTGTATGTGGAATGAGTTCAGCTGCTGCTTAAATGTTTACCGAGCAGCAGACAGCGACCATATTAAACACCTATAACCTTTATTGTACTCTGTAAACTTTAGACCTTCTTTTGTCTCTGGTATATATATATTGTTGATGTGTAATTTATATACAAGGCAATATACATGACTGAAATTGTATCCATCATTTTGAATAGCTCTGTGAAATGAGAGGGATTATCTGTATAGTCCTTAATATTGACATTATTTTTTTCTTTTCTTCTGAAACTTGCTAGTGGTATGGGGTGAGTGCAACCATTCCTTCCACAACTGCTGTATGTCGCTGTGGGTGAAACAGAACAACAGATGCCCTCTCTGCCAGCAAGAGTGGGTAGTTCAGAGAACTGGAAAGTGATAGCACTGCCTTGGGATGCCTGCGCTCTACCTGCATCTGCTCCACTATTTGCAAGACAGATTATTCCTACACACCTTTTCTTTAGGGTTGTGAATTTGTTGATGAGTGTGTTGGAGTTGCCAGTTTGATTTTTGTAAGATGTAACATCAAGTAGTAGGTGTTGTTGCTGGTACATGCGTGCCTGATGAGTGTTCTTTTTGTGTGTCAGTGTCTGTGTGTGTGTGTGTGCATGGAAGTATATTGCTGAAACATATATGTGTGTTTGTTTTCTCTTCAGACAAACTGAAAAGGTGGTGGGGAAATAATATGTGAACAGAATTACTAACATTAGTCCTAGTGTATGGAAGTGAGTCATGGGCAGTCAGCACATTACAGCTGGCAGTAGTGTTGCTGTATTATACTTCATCATTTTGCTGTCTTGAGGAGTTAGTTGCATGTCCTTTTACTGGATGTTGCAGATCCAAGAAGCTGGTTTGTTTGTAATATGCACTGTTACGTTTGGTAGTTTGCCATTACTTTCAGAACTGTTAGCTCTCTGCACCACTGTCAGAATCAATGTAGAGAGGAATAAGTATAAGCAAAGGACCCTTTTCATAATTAATAAGCTCTTCCTGGTATCCTTAAGGCACAGCAAATATGGGTTAAGCCATATCATTGCTTGAGTTGATCAAAATGTGTATCTACATGCTGGGACATTTCTGTGAGAATGTATATATAGGATCCGCACCACTGGGTGGTGAATTGATAGATGACAAGGCAGATGTGGTCAAGGCCTTTTGGGAACGAGCAACAAAATCAGTAGAAAGAAGATTATTATGGCCTGGAGAGAATGAGGCACTTGGGTGTAACCAGAGGGTCTGGCCGTTTACTACACTGAGAGGAAAGGCAAGACAGACACTTAACCAAATTGTGACTGGAACCATCAGTATTGGAACTCTGCGCAGGTTGCTGAAGATGAGGACGGAGCATGCATGGGAATGCCCCTAGTGCTGTGATGTCAGTTCTTGACTCAACTCAGCTCATATAGGAACCTGACAGTTACTATGTATTCTCAAAAATAAGACTAGGTCTTATTAGGTTAATCCCCCCCCCCCCCCATGTTGATTCCTGGGCCTTATTGAGGGGAAACAAGAATAGATCCACTAACTGACTGACTGACAAACCTGTTGTAGAAGGAGGCCAATTGAGAGCATCCTTCAAAGTCAGAGGGCATCTACATGAGAGGCAAGGAACCAAGTGTCTGCATACAGATAAGCCAGATGTGTGAAACAGATGTGCATGCAACACTCACTTTCTGGAGCAAGACTAAAATCCAGAGGTGGACGAACATTGAGAACTTTCTACTGGTAAACTCTAGAAAGAAGAAAATATTAATTTATGCCTCACAATTGCACTGGGTGGGGGGGGGGGGGGGGGTCTTTTCTGATTTAAAAAAACTACATTTATTCAGATAGTCATGTCGTCTTCTTCTGGAATGTCGTCACAACTCTCCAAATCCTGAATTCAAATCCTGAATTTGTCTGTGTTATCTATGCTTCGACTGGCCATTCAGCAGCAAGTCTTTCATTAAATCCGACGATGTAGGGCATATATTAAAAGCCCCTTGAAAAATTGTACTAGGGCTTATATTCGGAGAAGGTCTTATTTTCAGAGAAACACTGTATTAATATGTTACAGAACATATGTACACTTCTGGTTGCTGCTGCCATGTATTGGACATGTTTAAACTGTCACTACTGTCTGTATTTTGCTATGTTTTTAGTGTGGTGTAGAAAGGGGGTTGTGAACCTCAGGATTTTGAGTCGCATGGCTAGTGCTGTTGTCACAGACTGTGCAGGTTAGGGTGTTTAATTTTGTCCCGTTTGAAATCTGTTGCCTTACGTGGTTGTCGAACCCGGGTCTCCCACATGAAAACCTGGCGTGTGGCTCGGCCAGTCGCTCCCCATGATGGACATATATAGGATGTTAGAAATATGGCTGCATATTTAATTGCACATGTTTAATCACATGTCAGTATCATGGCTCCGACATGAGACAGTCGGTAAGGAAATTATTCAGACTAATACATACACAGTACTGAGTCAGTTAATTGCCTCAAACTGCTTGCCATTCATATCACAGCACAATTTTTCTGATGTATGCCCTGTGTGGCATAGGTCTGTATTTTATGACCCACCCTGTGTTAGTTGCATATCCTTTTCAGGATGCTGCAGAACCAAACCCGGCATTCTTTTTGGCTTTTGTGGGTTTTTTTTTTCTAGGCAAATTTTATGTTCAGTAGTTTGCCATTGCTTCTGAACGGTCAGCTCTCGATACCATTATCGAAACCAACGCAAGACAAACTGTTCGCAGCTGGGATCAACCAGGCATTACAATGAGCGTTCGCCATGCCTACACCACAGACCGTGTAAATATTCAAAAAGCTTTAGTTTTGTGGATGTACTGAAATGCATGAAAGAGCAGCGTGTAAGGGTGGCTCAGTCCTTTCACATAAACCCAACCCATTTTTGTTACCTTGTACAATAAATGTCAGAAGTCAGATGTATATCTTGCATTACTTATTTGAAATGTCCATCTGCCTTGGAGTGTTTTTTTCTTTTAAATGAAACACATTTATAGACAGATAATAATATAGGTAAGAGAATGATGTTAAGTTTGGCAGAACTGGAGGTGCAGATTTTGGTAATATCAGATTTGGGTCTGCAAACAACCACTTCTTGTTGTCGCACAAGATTTCTTGGCCATCTATTCATGGGCCCTGACCTTTCCCATGGGGTGGTGTTTGGTTATATTTATTAATTTTATTTCTCAGCTGTAATGGTCAAAAGCCTAGATTGTACATAATTTTAAAAATAAAACAACCAAGAAAACCCAGACGGTAACTTTAAAAAAAAAACCACATCATGGGGAGAGGCATGAGTTTTACAGATGATATATTGTTGACAAAAAGTGACGGTGCTCTGCCGGTCGATGCTGAACACAGAACGTTTCAATGATCAAAAATAACACAATGTGACACCACTAGAAGATGCAGCAGCCGGTAGGAAAGGTCCTGGCCTATGAATGGATGGCCACGAAATCACGCGTGGCGATGAGAAGTGGTTATTTGCGAACATAAGCGTGAGTTGAACACAACTTTCATATGTGGTTTCAGGTCCAAGTAAAAAAAAAAGGGAAGGCGGTGGGAATACTAGATGCACCCCCCCCCCCTCCCCAAGAAACACGTAAAAGGCAGTTAATTAGTGGTGTTTTCTCCTAAATCAAAGCCCGCCTACCAGAGAGGCAGTGAACCAACATATGCATGCAAATAAGCCAGATCTGTGAAATAAATGTGCATACAAAAGTCTACTGGAACAATACTGAAGTGGGTGAACAACCAGAACTGTCTGTTGGAGTTTACAGCCAGTGATGCTAAGGAGGAGATAAAACTGATAGATGACATGTCCTGGAAGAAATGAGTCTAAACTGATGGATCTTTACTTAGGGGCAATACATCTATTTCCCGCTCTTTCTTACATTTTATTTGGTAATGGCTCTCCAAGGTAACATTTCTATTTTGCATCTTCTGTTCTATGTTGTCTTTTTGGTCCTGTGATAAAGACTCTGGCCACAACATTTGGTTGTACCTCTGCATGTCTTTTCCTTTCCCTATGCTGATATATATAATAAACAGACAGACAGTATATTGATTGGCACTCATAGAAAGATAGAAGGACACACTAGAAAACACAAAATCAAAAGTTATCATCCCAGGAATCGAACCTGTCATCTCCAAATGGTGTGTGCACTTCGCTATGGAAACAAGTGTACTAGGAACATGACCAGCTAGTCACCATTTTATAGTTTTGACTTTACATATTTTCAGAACATAAAACTTCTAGGGATTTCATACTTCGATGCTGTTGTTCTTCTACATTCACCCTCAAGAAGGCAGTTGGCACATTGTACTGTGATTTACAGCTAGGCTGTGAAAGTTAAGCCTTTCGGCCCAGCACATGTCATTTCTGCACACTGCTAATTAATCACATTCTAAGACATGCATAGCAAACATGCTTCGTGATTCCAAGGGCTGGGTTCAATCAAAGCTGCAAGCAGGTCAGCATCAAACCACTTTGCTTTGGTTTCAACAGTGGAATTAAGTGCTGAACATTCAGCAAGCAATGTGAACTGCATGGTGAAATCAGGAACAGCCAAAATGTGCTAAGGTCAGGTTCTGCAACAACCTGTAAAGGATGCACAACTAATTTTTGTTGTTAGAGGACAGAGAGTATATTCTACATCTCCCTGCCCCCTTTTTTTCAAACTGGGGTCTAGCAACCCACACAGGAAACTTAGAACCAAACAACCACAAAATATAACCCAGAAGCATAATAAAATAAAAGGAAACACCAGGAAAGCAGCAACGATTTTGACAAAGGTGTTTATTTCCAAGTCAGCATCTGTGGCTTAAGGATTATGAATGCAGTTCATAACTCTAAAACATCTGATTTGATTCAACTGCAGGTGATTTGGCAGCAGGCGAATTTGGGGTGAGATCGACAATGGTATGGAGCATCAACAGCCTATGGCAAATTACTAAACATGAAATGTCTATTGAAACCACACGCATTCATTCAAATGCTGGGGCCAATTTGCACTACTATAAAAAAAAGTAAAGGACCCTTTTCCCACACCTTTAGGCATATAGGGCTAGACTTATATGACCAATTGGCACAAGATAGGTGTTGTGGTCAGCATCACGCCAGTCGCCTTTACTTCCTAGGATTGCATCTGGTATCCACTCATGGCTGGGCCGACCTGGAAGCCAAGGTAATTTTTTGAAAAAAAAGTCTGGCTCTGCCAGAGAGCAAACGCACGACCTTCCGATCCGTGGCGAGCATCTATCCGTTGCACCACTATGTTCCCCCCCAAAAAGCCCTAGCAGGATTGTTCAAAATGCTCCTGTCTTTCAGTCCCAAGCAACACTGGTACTATTAGCACATCAACACTTCATTGGTTACTGAAGAAGGAGATGGAGCTCGAGTGCAGGGATGTCAACTCTTGATTCATTCACTACCAGGCAATACACTGAACATTGTTAAGTTTTTACCTTATATGCTTTACTTCTTTAACTCTCTATGCCCCAGCCAGGTTTTAACCAACTTAGTACCAACGGTTTTCAACCCTTTTTTGTCTCATATTGTATTAATCCTTTCAGAATTGTTTTGCTTTGTTTTTTTAAAGTAACAATTTCTTATGATATAATGAATAGAAATAACATGCATCTGGGACTGAAAGACATAAGCTCAAACCCCAAATATATCTAGTTAACAGCGCCAATCAGTGATGGAGAATGTGCTCGCACATTGAAAAGATGTATTGAATTATAAAGTAATGATTCCCCCAGGTGGGTTTCAGGGTTTTTGTAGGAAAAACAAGAATAGACCCGGAGCCTCCCGAACAAGCATGTCGTAAGAGTCCACTAACCGAGGGTTTCTTTAGAAGTCGGAGAGCATCCGCCTGACAGGCAAGGTATCAACAACAAATGTTGAATTAGGAATCACAGTACTCTGACATTCCCATAAGCGCGCTGTGACCATCTTCAGCAGTAAGCAAAGAGTTCTACTTCTGATGGCACCAGTAACTGTCTGATTGTATATCCGTCTGGCCCTTCTGAATGTGGAGCGCCTGTCAGATCCCCTGTAACTCCTCGCAGCATCATTCTTAGACCGTAATGTGATCTATCTGTGCCTATGCACTGATCCAAGGGACCAAGTCTACATGCAATTAAGTTAGATCTGTAAAACCAATGTGCACACAACACTCAGGTTCTAGATCAAATCCAAAGTCCAGAAGTGGATGAACAACCAGAAGTTTCTGCCAGAGTTTACAGCCCGTGAAGAAGAAGATAAAGTAAAATAAACTGGTATTACTGACATTGTTACTTTACAAAAAAAAAATGATATAAATGCAGACTGAAATTCAAGTTAGTTGCATTTCCTTTACCAACCCCTACATTCATTTGCTGTTTGTGGTTTTATCTGGCAATTTTACATTTGCTGTTTGTGGTTTTATCTGGCAATTTTACATTTGCTGTTTGTGGTTTTATCTGGCAATTTTACATTTGCTGTTTGTGGTTTTATCTGGCAATTTTACATTTGCTGTTTGTGGTTTTATCTGGCAATTTTACATTTGCTGTTTGTGGTTTTATCTGGCAATTTTACATTTAGCGGTCTGTTCCTGCACTCTAATCATCAACTCTCAATCTAAAGTCAAAACCCATGGGAAATAAAGAAGATGAAATTACCCAATCATCATCAAGTGCCTAGCTGCTAGTGTGGATGATCATGCATCTTCACAATCTGTGCTCTTCAATATCATGTATCAGTTTGTATGCTGACACTCCATCATGATGAAAGGCTGTCAAGAATCTTCTCGCCTTGTTTTCTTATTTTCCCCCACAGATCTTTCCAACAATCACAACATGTTCCAGTTTTTTTTCTTCTCATAACATGCCCAGAAAATTATGACTGTCCTTTTCAAAAGTTTGTGATAAGTTGTCTTTGAGCCTTCGCCTCTTTCAGTACATCTGGGTTGCTCTTTTTTGGCTGTCAAAGTAATAAGGATCACCCAATATTACAAGGAACAAACATTTCTTGGACTAATGATGACTGTAAGGTGGCAAACCAAAGTCTTCTGGTCTGAAGTGTTCCAAAGTTTCTAGGATCACATCCACACGGCCTTGTAGGACTGACTGGTCTGCTCGAGGGTCTGGAACCCACACCACTCTCATGCCAGCAGCAAGCCCAGCTTCAGCACCATTGGCAGCATCTTCAAAGACAACAATCTGCAGATGGTAAGAGAAGTACTGGAACAACACTGCATACTTCACATTATTTCTCTGTATTTTTGTCAATCTTAATTAGCCATTATCATACAACATTATACTCTGTGCTGTTATTCTGATGGTGAGGGGGGGGGGGGGGGGGGGGGGGGGGGGGGGTGTTTCTATAAAGCTGCAACATCAATTCGGCCTCTTCCGACTTAGTTTTTGTAAAGCTAGATAGTTCTTTCCATTTTGTTTACTGACTCATTGCATTTCTACCTGTGAACACCATCATAGTAATAAGTATTAATGCACCTGTACTCGTATGAAGAGAGTCAGAGATGTTGAACCAACTGCAACAAAAGGGCGTTAAGCGAGGACAAACATGCAGAAACTGGTTGTGGGGCAAAGACTGAGATGGCTGCTGCATAAACAATGGAGCATGGGTGAGTGCTTTGAGGCAGATAAGCCTCTAATCCGAGAGACTTAGCACAATTCAGAGCATGGGCTGCATTATTTTTATAAAATAAGACAAATGACGCCATACTCTCCTCAGCTATTGTTGGTACCTTTCTTCTTTCCAGACAAAAGAGTTCTATTAAGCTGTAAATTTAAATACCAATATTGCCATCACTAGATACGGGTAAAACTTGATCTTGCGGGTATAAGGCACATGGTAAAAATCCATCAGGAGTTGGAAATACTTTTAGATTAGATTGACCTTGGGTACCAGAAAACTGTCCTGGAAAGTAAAACTGGGCAGATGTTGACCACACAACCCAGTGAAAGCCAATAGGTCTATAAATTTGAATCCAGCATCGTATGCCAGACAGGCCACTTTAGTGAAAAACATCCTTGGAAATAGATGGAAATAAAACAGGCAGGTAGCTAGTTGTACCCCAGTGGAGAGGTCCCAGAAAAACCCTTTTAGCTGTTAGGCCATATCTATGCCCTGGCTATATTCAGGGCCCCCGGCAGAAGCCAGGGTGGGTCTTCAAATAACCAACAATAACATCCCACATGGAGACGAGACACAGATAAAACAGGAGGCCACCCAGACAATATTTCCAATTAGCAAAATACCAATGTTTTTTTTAATAGCATTCATAATTCCAGTCTGCATTTGTTAGCATTCTTGTGGGTGCTATGAAATGATGAACATACACATATACAGAGACACATAAAGAGTAACGTTCAAGGTAATGTGCTCACTTCTTCTGCTCGTGGATTATCTCCGAACCTCTGAGCACACACAAGGAAGCAGTCTGGGGCAGGCTTGCCATGTCTGACATCTGGGTCATCACCGGCAAGAACGTAATGGTGAAATAGGTCAAATAGCTCCTTATGCCTAGAGATCTTTCTGCTGTATCCCCATTTGTCTGAGCCGGTGGCTACGGCAATCGGAATGTTAATGCTGTGGAAGTATCTAATTAGTTTTTCAGCACCTGTGAATATATTTCATATTTTATCACAGACTGAACTAATCATACTGAATCTGCTGACAATAAACATTTGTTAGCTTAACATTCACCCATCTTCTTCGTCTCTGAATTCACAGACAGAATATTCTGGCTGTTCATCCACTTCTGGACTTTGGTCTTGTTCCAGAACTTGAGTTTTGTGTGCACATCCAGTTTACAAATCTGGCTTATTTGTAAGCAGACTGTTGATTTCTGGCCTCTCAGGTAGATATACTCTGACTTTTACAACATGTCTAAGGGATGAATTCTGGCGGGGGGGGGGGGGGGGGGGGGGGGGGATCTGTTGAATCATCTCACATTCAGTGAAGAATATCAGAGCTTCCCCTTGTGCATCAGGTAATGTCTGAAATGTGCATCAGGTAATGTCTGAAATGTGCATCAGGTAATGTCTGAAATGGGCACCAGGTAATGTCTTAAATGTGCACCAGGTAATGTCTAAAATGGGCACCAGGTAATGTCTAAAATGGGCACCTGGTAATGTCTGAAATGTGCATCAGGTAATGTCTAAAAAAAAGGTGCATCAGGTAATGTCTGAAATGTGCATTAGGTAATGTCTGAAATGTGCATCAGGTAATATCTAACATGTGCATCAGGTAATGTCTGAAATGTGCATCAGGTAATATCTAAAATGTGCATCAGGTAATGTCTGAAATGTACATCAGGTAATGACTAAAATGGGCACCAGGTAATGTAATGGAAAGTATAGGCAGCCAGAATGATATTGATCCCAACACCCACTGAATGTTCGTTCATTGGTCCACAAATGTGAGAATAGCATGTCATGACCAATGTGTCACAAGTTTTAAAATGTTCCTTCACTTAATACTGAAAAATAATACACATGCTAGTTTAAATGGTGAGGAAAAGTCTTTCAGACAAGTCACCACTGACGCAAAGTGTGAAAAACTTACCTGCTAGAGATCAGTGGTTCTCAACGTTCATAATGGCACAACCATTTAATTCAGCTCCTTATACCGTAGTGACCCACAACCATAAAATTATTTTCCTTGCAACCCCTGCGAAATGGTCGTTCAACCCCCAGATGGATGAAGCCCACATTTTGAGAACCACTGTGCTAGATTATGATGATGATGTTATATTTAAAGATGAAAGTTCTACAAAAAGTTGAATAACTGACGATATCATTGCACATATCACTATTTTACATAAGATTGACAAATTTAACTGAAGACTAGTCATTAAAGTGGTTAAATAAAAGCAATATGCAAATACCTGGCAGAAGTGGAGTTGAAGGAAGTTTCTCTTCTAACTTTGCCCGCAGTTTGGCTGAGTATTCATCAACTGTCATTGGCAAACTAAAGTGGTCTGTAAATTTACAAAACATCTGGCATTGTTTAATATCTTTTTTCATGGTTGCAATTTCTGAGCGAAAATTGGCTTGACTCATTCCAGACATTTTAAATGTTAATCTTCAGCGCTGAATTTTTTTGGAAGCTGAAATATTTTGGTCATAGCAAGCAAGGATTGGAACAAATAATACCAGAAGGCAGGGCTTTGGGAAGGAGAGGCAGGGATCGGCCAACATGAAAAGATGGGCACAGGATATGACTTCTTGAAAGAACATGAGGCAGGAGAGCTGGCGAAAGACTGAGTTTCTTTCAGGCAGACTCTGATGACAGCGATGTTCTGCAAAAGGACCTGCTACATGACAATGATGCTGAATTCTTTTGGTCATGCTACACTGTCTGCCCTGAAGACAGTTAATTGTCACACTGTCTGCCCTGCTGACCTGAAGACAGTTAATTGTCTTCTGCAGGCCCGTGCAGCATCCCCATATCCAGTCCTGTCTCCACTGTTCACTAGGTTGCTATTTTTTCCCTGGGGCCTGCAGGCATTGATGCCAATGAAAGAACTGATACACTTGCTGCTCTGCTATACTTGTAGATGGCCAATTCAAGGCATTCTCCAGCTACTGGGCAATAGGGCACTCCTGATTGGCTGTGCATTGCAGGCTAAGCTGTTGGCGAACAAAGTGTGCTATTTTTCCATGACTGACTTTAGGGAGACGCAAAATGGCTGTCAGATGTGTTTCATATGTGTTAGGTTTTAAAATATATTCTCGCCCGTCTCTCTAGCGTAGTTGGCTAAACCGGATTGCGCGGTGAGAGGGTGACGAACTCCTTGTGGTCCGGGTTCACTCCAGGGGGTGGGCAGAAAAGCCACATTTCTCCCAGATTTACGGTATTTAAAATGGAATCAAGCCCGAAGGGTTGCGATATCCATAATACCGAGCCTAAGGGTTAACAACTCATGGCTTCTGGATACTAAAACAAACAAAATATATTGTCACTGAAACACAACAATTAGTGATTTTTCCTTCACTTTTGATTCATTTGTGTGTGGTGTTTTCTTCGAATGGATTTAATAGGGTCTTCATGTGATTTTCTTTGGATTTATGTTCAATCTGCCGTGTTTTCGTGGAGCAGCATTTCAAAGGTAAGAAGTATAGTATTCTGTATATATTTTTTGCATTTGCCGGCTGTAAAATCCTTTAGAAGGTTCTGGCTGTTCTCCCACCTCTGGACTTTAGTCTTGTTCCAGGACATGAGTGTTGCGTGCAAATCTGTTTTACAGATCTGGCTTCATTCTATGCAGACTATTGGTTCCTTGCCTCTCAGGCAGATGCACTCCGACTTCGAAGGAACCACCAATTAGTCAACTCTTACGGCATGCTTGCTTTGGAGGCAGTGGATACAATACATCTGATATTAACATTTTATACATTATTAAATATTACAAATTCAAAATGACTTCCCATTGGCAAAATGTACTGGGTGGACAAGAGAATATGGGAAAAAAGGGGGGGACAAAAAGAAAGAAAAAATACTGGGGGACAAAAAGAAATGCAAAAATACGGGGTGGAAAGGATGTATGCAAAAATATGGGGGGGACAAGGATAGTAGCTTAATGGGGGCAAGAAAAATTTTCAATACCTGGGTGGACAAGAAGAAATTGCAAATATACTGGGTGGACAAGAAAAATATTTCAAATAATGGGTGGACAAAAAAATATTGCAAAATTTCGGGTGGACAAAAAGAAAATGCAAATATATGGGTGGACAAGGAATATTGTTATAGCTGGGTGGACAGAGAATTGCAAAATATGGGTGGACAAGAAAAATATTTCAAATATCTATGTGGGCAAGGATGTATTGGATTACTGGGGGACAGAAGAATTGCAAAAACTAGGGGGGCAAGAAGAATATTGCAAATATACGGTGGGCAAGGGGAAGTATTGCAAAAAATTTCTGGGTGGCAAGATTTATTTCGATATACTGGGGGCAAAAGAATATTGCAAAAAACTGGGTGGACAAGGAATTATTGGTATAGCGGGGGGGACAAAAGTATTGCCAAAAAACGGGGGGAAAAGAATATTCAAATATACTATGGGGAAAGGATAGTTGCAAATTACTTTGGGGGGCAAAAAGGGGACAAGGAAGACGAAAATTGGCAA